GTCCTCACCTTAGAATAATCCAGAAACATTTTTTTGTGGCAAGATCCCTTTGGGAGGTGTGAAGGCAGAGTCCTTCCACCCTTTCCTTTCCAGGACCTCCCCTCTGATCTTTGTTACCCAGACACCACATTTTTTTCCCCCAGCACCCCTGCCTTCACGGGGAGAAGAACATAGACAACGTCAAAACTTGTTTGCAAACCCTGTGAAGATGTTGCAAAAAAAGTGACAAGACTGTCGGTTTATGCGAATATATTTTGCTCAGTGTCTAGGATTTTCCTTTTCAAATTGGAAAGGGAACGGACATCACAGGCACATGGCTGCGATGCTCTGTATTCGTCAACCCGGAAGGACATTCTGGGAGCAGACCAACTTCACTGAAGAGTCAACAAGTCCAACGGCGCAGGAATGTCGCAGGTAAATCAGACACACTCAGCTGTGTTAAAGAAATAGCGTATCTGTGCTTTCAACTCTTTTTTCATTCCTGAATTCTGGGATTCACTAATATTCATGCTTTTAAAAACTGTGTGACATTTTCTCTCCGGAATCACGGGGGACTCAGGAGGTATGGAAGAAGGCGCTCCAAGCGCAGGTTCTGATCCTGGCGCCACTCAGTGCTCCAGTGATGCAGGGTAACTGCTCTCTGGGTCTCAATTACCTGTCTATGCAATTAGTGCTGTCTCGCTTTTCTCTGACACGTGGAACAACATAGGCTGTTCTGCAAATCCCAGACACACTTAGGCTGCCCCTGTGCTGGTCTCGAGGCCTCTGGGAACACCGAAACAGCGTCGCCTGGGGGGGTTCTTCCTTGAGAATAAAGCACGTGACTACGTAAAGCCCGTTCATTCAGCGGCTCCGCATCGACGAGTCCTCTGCGCAGTAAAAAGCCTACAGAGAGCCTAAATACATCTTCTGTTCCTTCCACCATCCAACCGCACGCAGAGCTCCCGGGGGCAGTGGGTGCCCGGGACCCCGGCCCGGCCGTCCGGCTGAGGGCGCCCGGCTCCCCTAACCCCGCGGGGTTGGAGGCTGCGCGTC